CGCGCTCGCCGGCCAACTCCGGTCTAAATTGCTGCGGGTCCCGCGGGGAGGACTTTTTTTGCTTTTCGAGCCCGCGCGCGCGCGCGCACGCGGGCGCGAGGTCTCGCGCTGGGCTTTTTACTGCCGGCTCCGCGCCAGTGCGCACGCGTGCTCACTCCCCTCGCTTGGGTCAGTCCGCCGGCGCGGGGTTGGGGGATAACCGCTGTGTCCGCCCTTGTCCTCCCGCAGCGTTCCCCAAGGTCGCTCCTCAGGCGCTCCTTCTAGGTCTGGTCCTTCGCATAGGAGCTCCTGGGTGTGCCGCCTCACAAGCCGTAGCCGTCCCTTGTTGAGAGTCCTGCCGTCGCAGGTAATAGGTGCGGCCCGGGGCTTGGAGAGGCAGACACTGCCTCCTTCCCGCCCACGCGGAGGACCGGGACTCCCGAATGTGTGGGGACTCGAGTGTGTTTGCCTTTTCCCCGCTTGGGCAGCTGCAGAGCTTTGCCTTCGAGGGGAATCTCAGGAGCACCACCCAGAGGTCTGCCCAGGAGGCCTTTTATCTACCGTCCATTCTGAGGGAAACTGTGGCCTGGGAAATTTCATTCCAATTTAGTCCACTTGCTCACATAATCAATATCCGACCCTTTTTTTAAAAAAATACATGTTACTAATTCTACTCCATAGGGGTTTACCTAAGTAATTGGCTGGAATTGAAAGGACCTTTGGTCAAATAAGCCCAGTCAGCACCCTTCCCATCTCATCCTTCCTTCCAAGAAGATTATTAGTAAGATTTGAAGCTAGGAAGCCTATATTTCTTCCTGGGAGAGGGTAGGAGTCATTCATCTGCTCATTCATTAAACAAATGTATTGAGCATCTACCTCATGCCAGGTTGGGTGATTATGGGGACACAGGAGAAGTCAAGACAGACTGGTACCCTCAAGGAACTAAGTCTAGTGTGGATATCAGACCACCACCGGACAATGACAATCTAAATCAGTACTATTTAATAGAAATATAATCCAAGCCACATATGCAACTTCAAATTTTAGATTAAAAATGAAAATCAGGTGAAATTAATTTTAATAATTTATTTAACCCAATTTATCCAAAGTAAGTTATGTTTAATAAAAAAAATACTTACATTGCTTCCACTTTGAAATTTTAGTTAAAATTAAATAAAATTAAAACTCTGAGCCATGGCCAGTGTGGTTCAGTTGGTTGGAGCATGGTTCTGTACACCCAAAGGTTATGGGTTTGATTCCCAGTAAGGGTACATACCCAGGTTGTGGGTTCAATCCCCTGTGTACGTGGGAGGCAACTAATCGATGTTTCTCTCTCTCCTCTCTAAACTCAATAAAAAACCATATCATTGGGTGAGGATTAAAAAGAAACAAAAAACTCTGAGGCATTAACAAGATACTTATTTGTGGCATGGACTGTCAGCATAAGGTTGGAAAATGCCCAATGTCCATTAATAGAAGTTTGAATATTAAATAAATGACAGTTTGGCCACACAGTGGGAACCATGCAACTGGCAACTGTTGGAAAATGAAACAGCTGAATGTATTAATATGAGTCCATCTCTAGGATATATTGAGAAAAATGTGCAGAACAGTGTATAAAGCATACTACCATTTGTATAAGAAACAGAATTTTTACATATATGCTTGGGTATGTACAGAAAAATTGTATAAAGACACAACCAGGGTTACTTGTGTGAAGGGTAAACAGGATCAAGTGTGAAAAGATTTTTTTTTTTAATCCTCACCTGAAGATATTTTTTTCCATTGCTTTTCAGAGAGAGTGGAAGGGAAATAGAGAAACATCAGTGTGAGATGTGATGGTTGCCCCCCATACATGCCCTGACCAGGGCCGGGGATCAGAGCCTGCAACCAAGGAACGTGCCCTTGGTGGGAATCAAACCCAGGACCCTTACAGTCCATAAGCCAATGCTCTAACCACTGAGCCAAACTGGCTAGGGCAAAAGATGACTTTCTCTTTATTATATGCTCCTTAATATATTTTGAATATTTTTACCATGTCCATTTAAAAAATTTGTTTAATTAAATGGAGAATGAGAGCTAAGTCATGGGATCTCTGTAAGAATTAAATAATATGTAAATAGCTACCTACCACTTTATAACCTAATCAATTATGGATGCTATCATTACTCCCAGATAACCCTTCCACTCAATAGAAACTAGCCCCCCCCCCGATAATGTGTGTTTGTCAGCCTGGAAATTGTTTCTTTCTATAAAGGTAGTTAAGTGTATTCCACCTGTGAAATCACTTGTAAGGCCAGAGTAGCATTCTCGGGCCCTGGGAACAGACTTGGGTTCCTTACTAGTAATGTCATTCAAAAAGCATAAGTAAGTAACCCAAGATTGTCCTCTAGCTTTACAGTCAACTCATGAGGCTTTTCTAATGCCAGCTGGGCTTTCTGCCCCTGTCCCCAAACATGAGAGTCACCTGCAAAACTGCGGGATGCATGCTGGGCCCTACCTCAAAGAGCAGAACACACATCACCCTTATTGTTATATGTACTCATAGCACTTTGTTCTTTTCCTTCCTGAAACTGAATCACTAGCATAATTTAATGTTTTAAGATTGAGAAAATTAAAAGTTGCCGAAAGGTTCAAAGAATAATATAATCCATCACTAGAATTTCCCATTGTAATCAATTTTATGACTATTCTTTGTCTGCCTTCCCTGGTGAACTGTAAGCTCTTTGGGAAAAGAGCTATATACCCTCACAATTCTATAATAGAGAATATGGAGCCAATGAGTGACTTGAAAGGAGCCCAAGGGGCCAATAGTGTCATGGAGTACAGTGCCCCCTACAGCCAATTCTCTATTACAAAGGCAGGGCTCATGGGATGGTGGTCTCCCAACATATCAGCTACTGACAGTATGTTGGCGTGGACTGCAGCTAAGAAAAAGAATGTAGTGGCAGTGTCAATGCCCAGTCACAAACCTGGTTTGTCTCCATAGTCAGCAGGACATAACCATATCTTGGCCCCAGATACTGACACCCCGCCCCCAAGTTGGCTGGAAGACTTGAATTCTCCCATTAGGTCATCTTTGGGTTATGGAGATATTAGGAAGTCAAGACCATTGGGATTAAAATGTCTGAAATTCACTCTGGACTTGCTTTTAAGGACAGGTAATGGGATTAGGGAATTGAATGTGGGAGATTTTAGAAGAGAAGTTTCCTCTGAGGGTAACTTGAGGAAGCTGGTATATGGGATGAGAGAGAGTGGCAAAAATAAACAGGTTTGGGGTTTGAAGGCCTTCTTTTTCACTAACCACTAGGAATGTGCTCCCAAAGGGTCCCAGCTGCTTGCTTTTGGTAGGCTGGTTAAGAGAAGTTGGACCCAGAAGAGGTATTAGGAGCAGTGGGAATTGATGGACTGCAAATTTGTTGTTGATGACTCTGTCAACAGCTCTGGGGCCTCAAGGAGCCAGTGGGGTAAATTTGAGCTGTGAGGCCTGGCCTACAGGGCCATCCAGTAATGTGCAGGATATGAAGCAGATCCCACTGGCTCCTGAAAGGTGGTCCAAAGCAGCAGCAAGTGCAAGGTTATAGGAGAATAGAATGGAAAAAGACATGGCAGAAGCGCAGCAGTCAGTATTGGGGAGAATGGAAAGAGACAGAGGGGATGCTGATGACTGACAGCGAGTCCCCAGTTCCCACTAGTGGGTTTGTGGATCAGAGAGCTTCCTTAGCATCAACTAGCAGAACCTCTTCCTGACTCTTATATGGAGAAGAATCCTGAACTGTAGATCGGATCTTAGTCTTGAATCTGTGTAGCCTTGAACACTGTTCCTCTCTGAATTCACATTCCTTATATTGATAATGGAGATGACTATATCTGACTCTCAGAATCCTTTCAAGAACTAATGAGGCAATTGATGTGAAAACTTTTTTGTGGGCTCTAACCCATTCTACACATGAAGTGGTAATGATACATTTTGCCTGCTGCTTCCCCTAAAATCCAGCCATGAAGTCTCTGGCAACACAGGGCCTAGGCTTAGCCATACTAGAGTGTGCTCTCTGCTGACCTTGCCTCAGGAGGCCCGGGACAAACTGATCTGGAACTCCAATAGCTCTCTAAACCAGTGGTTCTGACTTGACTGTGCAGTAAGATCAGCTGGAAAGCTTGTTAAAACTCAGATTTTTGGGGCCCTATCCCTCAGTTTCCAATTCAGTAGGTCTGGGGTGGGGCACAATAATTTGCATTTCTAACAAGTTCCCAGGTGCTGCTACTGCTGCTTGCCTAGGGGTCACACTTTGGGGAACTACTTTAAACTGAAAGTTTACCAGTTTCCTTCATCAGGCAGGCACAAGGATGGCCTCCATTGCCCTCTGCTGGCCAGACTATAAACTTACTTGTTTCCAGAGCAACGGGAAAATACAAAGTATGGTTTGGAAGGAAATACTTGTCTGAAAACCAAACTAGCCTAAAAACAGCAATCATAATAACTGTTGCTTCAGAGTGTACTTTAAAAAGTATTCACAAGAATTATTTAATCTTTGCAACAATCCTGTGAAGTAGGCAACACTGGCATTTTCATTTTACAAATGAGGAAAACAAGCCTATCAGTCAGACCAGTAATGAGAGACTCCCTGGCAGAGGGGGCTTGTTAAAAGTAGGATTTATTCACAATCCAACTGGGAAAAGTAGAGGTTCATTCTCACGAAGGCCAAAGATACGGGAGTGCAGAATAAGATGATGAACAGATGGTTCACATGTAAGGGAGCTATTTGATTCCACCAGCGTGGAAAAAAATGGCTGGATCCTTTCTCCAGCTGTGCTAGGTGGACTAACCCTAAGTCCTAGGCGCCTAGCATCTCAATTTCCTATTTCAGTAGTCTGGCTTGAATGCCCGTAGATTCACCTAGGGAGCTTGTTACAAGTGAAGGTCCCTGAGTCCCACCTCCAAGGTTCTGCTTCAGTAGGTCTAGAGCAGGACCTAGGGATATGCATTTTAAGGCACAACCCCTCCCCTGGAACTTTGGGAACTCCTAGTCTTTGCAGAATGCTCTCTTAACACACCACCAGCAGCAAATAATTATTTGCCTGGGCCGGTATTGCTTTCTAGCCCCTCTCTGCTTCCTTCACCCATAATATCCCACTGGGTTATGATAGCTAAGATTCAGTCCCCAACTCCTTTATGTACCCTCTCCAAGCCTCAGTTTTCTCATCTATAAAATGAAGTAATACCTACCTCGCTGGGCTGGAGTGACATTAAATGAGAAGGTATGTCTTATGTATAGTTCCTGACATTCAAAAAGTGTAAAATAAACATGAGTTCATGGATCTTGCCTTCTGATTCCTAGCTTCTCAAAAAGTATAGTGGCTGAGCTGGCATCTTTTGGATTTCCACAGATTTTTAAGCAACGGTTCTGAGCAGGACCAGGGGATAATCAAGGTGATGTCTTCCCCCAGACTCATTCCCACGTGGAAGGATTTTAAATACCTCATAAATGACATACAAAAGAGCAAGGTAATGTATATGTAGGACATAAACATGTTATTGGCCTCTGTCTATCTTAATAGTTATGAGTACTTCTGAGGAGCATAGATTTCCATGGAAGCAGGCAGAGGAGTCCATAAAGACAATTGTCACCTTAGGAGGAAGTGGGCTATCAATTTTCAAGTGAGCCTAGGGACCCCTTACAAGGACTTTTAAAAAAAATCTTCACCTGAGGATATGTTTATTGATTATTATTATTATTTTTTTACAGAGAGAGGAGGGGGGCAGAGACATAAGGAGGGAGAGAGAGACAGAGAAACATTAATTGGTTGCCTTCCCTACGCACCCTGACCAGGATTGAACCCCCAACCGAGGTATGTGCCCTGACCACCAAACAAACAAATTGGTGTACAGGACAATACTCCAACAAACACTGAGCCACCCAGCCAGGGCTTGCAAGGACTTTTTTTGGGGGGGGGGGTGTAATCCCCACCTGAGGATATTTTTTTCATTGATTTTTTTTAGAGAGAGTGGAAAGGAGAGAGGGAGGAAGGGGAGAAAGAGAGAGAGAGAGAAACATTGATGTGACAGACACATCGATTGGTTGCCTCCTGCAGATGCCCTGACCAGGGCCAGGAATAGAACCCACAACCTCTCATGGACTGATGACGCTCTAACCACTGAGCAACACCGGCGAGGGCTTGCAAGGACATTTTGATAGTGGCAGGTGAACACTCTGGAGATTTGTCAGAGGAACCAACCCTCTGGGAAAAGATATTTTTCTAAAAGAGAGGAGAAGGCACCAAAGAACATTTGCCAACCTCAGTTTTGCTATGGTTGGCTCTGTGTACAACGATCTCAGTTTCATGTTGAATAGCACATGCTCTGTCACTGTGGGATAATATATTTTGTATATATATAATCTTCCTCCATCAAATTTAAAAACCAGGTAGAGTGTCCTAGAAGTCTGTCTTAGTGCAGTTTTAAACCTTAATAACTTAAAGCTGCACTGACTTTTGGGACACCCTGTTACATTGCATGTGGGTATATGGCAGTGCACTTGCCTGATTAATCTGTTAAAAAATGTGTCTTTTATGGCATGTGTACCTTTTAGACAGAAGGGAGAACATTAGAGGACAGGTATAGTTAACTTCATGTTGAGAACATCAGTTTCCCCTGTGCTCACACTATAAAATTTGCCCATAGAGGCCTTATAGAGGTTTGGTTCTCTCATGTTGGAGGTTTTGTTACATGCTTGGTAAGTGTAGGTGTCCCACAGGTGATATGTTGTGCATATGTGGGTGTAACAGGAATGGTCCTTGGGGTTGTGGCATGACTTTGGGAACTGCTTCAATTGTGGCTTGAGTGAGAATATATTTAGTGCATTTGTGTCCTGGTCTCTTAGTCTATTAAATGCCTCTCCCCAGCAAACTGTAGAAGACCCAAAGAGTGACATAGTTGTGCTGAGTGACCGGTCCCAGATACTATTCAAAGAGTCTCGCCATCCTCAGAATATGCCACTTATATGCTATTACTTCAGTGATGCCAACTTCTTTGCCTCCCTCGCATGGGTGACAAGCACAAAAGAAACACAGGTAAAACTGCCTACTCTTTCTTCGTAGCCCATTCTACAGGGGCCGCGCCCATATAAGCTCCTCATCAAGTGACCTGGGCAGCATTTGAGATCTTGCTCCCAGGTATATGTCCTCATTTTGGCCCAAATAAACTCATAAAAATTCACACACACAAAAAAGTGACCTGAACCCAGGATTCCCCCTCACCCTTTTTCCAGTTACAGCCTCCATATTGAATAGATTTTATGGTTCCCCTAAAGTAGGCCCCAGTTAAAGAATCCTATGCTTTCTGCTTCTACAACCACCATAACCTGGGGGTAAAATCACTCTAGAATGCTCTAATGCCTCCTTAGCATGAGAACAGGGGAAAACAGCTGCATATTCTGTCCTTTCCCCTTCTACTATCTCTTCTAGGCAGTTTCCATCTTATTCTCTTCTAGGCTGTAGTATGGATGAAGAGCAAAACTGAGGACATGGTCGAGAAGAGAACATTCCTCATGACTGAACGATTGCCACCCATCCACTGTATGGCACACACAGGTCCCTTTCATATTCTTGTGGCCTACTGCGGTGACCTGCTTCTGCGGCTCTTTGGTGACCACTTTCGGTCATTCAAACCCCTGGGTATAGTGCCCTGCCGCTTTAACATCAACTGCCTCTGCTATGACCCGGAAATGAAGATGCTTTTGTCGGGCATCCTGGGGGCAGTGGTCACCTGGACCATTGAGCAAAGTGGCAAGGGCCTCCAAATAGCCCACATGGTTTCCATGCCTGGTGATGAACTCGTCCAGGACATCGTGTTGAATGGCCCCAATGGCTCCCTCTTAGCCCTGTGTGAGACTGTGGTGAGGGTCCTTGAGCACCAAGGCCTGAGCCAGCTGGGAGAGGTGAAGAGGTTCACTTCTACCACTAGTGGCTCCTCTATTACCTGCTGCTTCACCTGTTTTGATCAGGGCTTCCTCTATGCTGGAAACAGGGATGGGGACATCCAAGTATGGACCCTCAGTCAGAGCCACTCTCTCCACAGTTTCAAGGCCCATTCCTCATCAGTGATATGTATTTGCAGTCGGCCAGAAGCCCACACCCTGCTAACAGCTGGCAAGGAGGGTTTAATTAAGGAGTGGAACCTTACTTCTGGGACCCTGCTGAGGCAACTAGAACTTGGCGAGGAATTGCATCGACTTCAGTTTATTGATAACATTACTTTCTTCTGCCAAACTGCCCATACTTTCTCCTTGCGCCGTCTGCCCTGCTTCTATAGCCTCTTCAATGTCTGTGGTTGTGCTCCAGAGCAGGTGCGTCGGGTCCACTGTGGTAATAACTGGTTCCGGATCCTATGCACTACTGAAGATGGCTTATTGCGCTTTGTGTCCCCACTAACAGGGGATCTTCTGGTTTTCACCTGGCCCTTCTCAATCTTGGACCAGGCTGTAGACTGGGCCTATGACCCAGATAAAGAGGAGCTCTTTGTAGCAACAGGGGGCTCAGACGTGCTGGTCTTTGACACAACCCGCTGCCCTTGCCCAGCCAAGTATCTTTTATGCACCTCACCAGATTCTCAGGACTCAATACAATGCATGGCCTATGGGCATTTCCACCTGGGTCGGGGTCTAGAAGGACTGATGTTTTCTGGACACCAGAGTGGTATGATAAGAGTACTTTCCCAGGACAGCTGTGCCCGAATAGAGAAATTCATGCACTTTGGGGCTGTATTGGCCCTTTCTACTCTGTCTAGAGGGCTTGTAGGTAACCGAGAAAACTCTTTGCTCTGTTCCTATGGAATGGATGACTACATACACCTATCAGAAGCTGTGCTTGACAGGGCCAGAGTACATCTGCGGCCTCTAGCCAGCATTCTCAGCAGCTGTCACCTAAAACACCTGATACTCCTGCCAAAGTCTGTGGGTGCCATCACAGAGACTAACTGCCTGCGTCTGTGGAAATTCCCTGATTTTCTGCCCTCTGAGAGACAGGCAAAGTATATAGAGACGCTACCTCTGCACCAGTGTCCCATTACATCCTTTGATGTATGCCTGACCTTGAGTCTTTTTGTCACAGGTGGTAGTGATGGCTCTGTCCGGATCTGGAACTTCCATGGTAAACTTATAGCCATGCTGGACTCATCACTGCATTTTGGCCCACTCTGCTTTGCAAATGACCGGGGTGACCTGATTGTGACTTTCAACCAGAGTCTTTATCTGGTATCCTGTTTAAACCTGCTTCCCCCAACCCTGCTAGTTCGCCTCTCCTTTATGAGCATGACAGATGACGTGTTAGAAACTCCTAAGCCTTTCATACCAGGTTTCTTCTTCTCCTTTGAGACCTTGTTTGTGCCCAAGTATATCTACCTTGGAAAAGGACAACAGGAATTAGTGGGTCTGGAGAAACTTGTCAATAGGCGGGCCATTGCCTTTGACCATACTGTGCCTCATGTCATAGAAGATGATGAGCAAGGGAGCCCTATATTACTGTCTGGCCCAAGACATGGCCCCTTGAAAAAGAAAATTTTTACAAGTTTGAGAAAACCTTATGACCATTATGTGGTTCCTCCCCAACTACAGCTGACTGCCTGGGATGGACTCAACCCTTACCAGATACTGCAATACTACTTTGGTCAGGGGCGGAAATGGCTCTTTGCTCCTGATTGCTATATTCCTAACTCAGTGATTCGTGCCCGTCTTTGGCCGGAGGGCAGCCCAATATACCTACAGTGCAACCTGCATTCACCCTTACGGAGGTTGGAATGGGATAAATCTCAACAATTCTTCTGGCACAGTAGGGTAAGACATATACATGATGCACATGAATATCCACAGGAAAAGGAAGACGAAGACTTCTTAGAAAGGAGAATGTCCAAGGATAAAACTTACAATGTTCTTACAAACCGCAGCTGGCTGGGGAGAAAGATGAGTGAAATAGCTATCAACACCCTGATTGAGACAATACTCAACATTATGATATTCTCTCCTCCTCCACTGAAGTACCAGTGCTGCATCGGTGCACTGGGGCAGATCTTTGCTTCTTACCAGGTGTCTCCACACTTGCGCTCTGAAACAGCCCACTGTCTGCTGGATGATACAACCAATTCTAATCCACAGATCCGAGAGCTAGCCTGGGAAGGGCTGAAGCGTCTAGGAATGATCACTCATCTCTTTGCCATGCCTCTGGCCCAGGGGTTAATGGACAAAGACCAAAGAGTGAGGAACAAGGCACTGAACCTCATGGCTGACACTGGAATCCTCTGTAAGACCTCACTCTTAAACTTGATCCAGAACCGAGAGACTTTCCAGGAGATGCAGTAAGTTCTTTGTGCCTCCCTCAGTTCTTTACTGGCTTCTAATCTTCTTCTTTCCCTTCCCCATTTCCCCCTTTCATTCTCTCACTATCTCTTCATCCCTGTTCATGGGCTTTTCCTGTCCCTTTTCCTCGTTCATAGTTTTTTCCTATTTCTGGACTATCTTGATAATCCTGACTGCTCAATCTTTTCTCCATTTCTTCTATTCCTGTCTATCCCCTATCTCTTCGGTTCCCCTTCTCATGCTTTTCTCCTAACCCTGCAGCTTCCATACAAATCACTCCATTCATTGCCATCTATCTTCCTAGACACTTCCTTTCTTCTTGGCCACCCTTTACCTTTACATACACTGTCTCTGTTGACCACTTTGCCAAGCCCCCTGCCTGTTCCACATCAGTTCTTTCCTTTTCTCTTTTCCTTAATTCAGCATGTTCCTTCTTCTCCTTTGACTTTCATAGGCAGGAAATGATTGGGGATGAAACCCTGGACACTTTGCTGGGGATGCGTGCCACAGATCTCCAAATCCTTCATACTCAAGTGGAGCAGCGATTGAATGAAGACCTGACCTTGTCACATGGAGATGAAAAGCCTGCTTTTTCTTTAGATGTCTCAGGGTCAACGTCCTTTCTCAAGCAACCTGATGTAATTCCTGAAGAATCTGACGTTGCCACCAAGCCCAGCAAAGGCCACAGACGGGGCCGAGCAGGGGTCAAAAAGCATAGTATGTATGGGGTGATCCAGTTCATGCCTCACGGTCCCCAAGAAGCAGGGCAGTTAGGGCTAAAGTGGGTCAAGAGATATCAGATAGAAGAAGAGATAAGTGGAAAGATCTTTTCACAGAGAAGAATCTTCCTAGAAAGAATCCACCCAAACTCAGAAAGGCTTCAAGGCCTGGGTGGGGACACTGGCTTCAGCCCCCTCTGTGCTATTTCTTTCATGGCAGTCCTCCTAGCTCATACCAGATATTGAGAAGAGTTTCATTTAAGCCTCCCATGCTTTCCTTATCTACATCTCCTGATTTTCTCTGCAGCCCGAAAGAAGACGAAAGAGGCTGGCACAGAGCCAAGTCCCTTAGAGGGTGAAAGTGATCAGAGTAAAACTGCACCAGTCGAGGTGGAGGATACAGCCATCCACTCTTGGTCTTCAACCAGCAGTGAACAACATTCTCCAGAGAAAGATGTCACAAAGGATGTTGCAATGTCCCTGAGGATGCTAAGGAAAATACATGACAAAAGAGGAAAGAAAACAGTTCAGAAACCCACAAAGAGGTACAAGAAAAAGACAAAAGAAGCTGTAATTGAACCTCTGCCTAGTGAAAAGAAAGAACCAGTTGTGAAGGTGAAAGTCAGAGAGCGGGGTGCCTTTGGAGCTCCTGGTCGCAGGGCTACCCCTGGAGATGGCTCATCGTGGCGGGATGATCTCTGTCGTCTTATGACCCTGAGGATATCTGGTTCCAAAACAGAAATGTTAGAATCTCTAAATGCTGAGTTAGTGGCCACGGCTCAGGAGGTGCTGGCAGATAAGCGCCCCAGCTGGGACCTCTTTGAGAAGATCTGTCCCCTTCTGAAGAAAGAAAGTGAGGTTCTGCTTGAGGACCTTGACTGGGATGTAGCCTGGCCAGAGGAAAAACCAATTTTTATTCATGAAGAAGCAGTTAGAGAGGACATGGTGATCAGGGACACTAAAGAGATACCAGAGGGGGAGGGGAAAGTACAAAAGGAAGCAGGGTACATACAGGACTTACAGGAAACCCAGGTGATTCCCAAAAAGGGCAAAAAACATAAAATTATTTTTTTAGAACCAAGTCACCTAATCAAGGGAAAACAAACACTGAAGACAGAAGAGAAGGAATCCTCTAAGAAGCCCTCTAAGCAAAAGAGGAAAGCAGTCCATGAAGAAATAAAAGTGGATAAAGAAGAAAGGAAAGTGACAAGAAGAGAGAAGGATGTGAGTCAGGAAGTGGGGAAAATGGCCAAACTAGAGGAGAAAGTGGTTGAGCAAGAAGGAAGACCAGTTATGGATAAGAAGCTGTCTTTTCAGGATTGGAAGAAGTCCTGGGATCAGTGGAAAGAGGCCCACGGTGAGACAGTGATATCCTGGAATGAATGGAAGAGAGCCTGGGACAGGGGGCATCTTGAGGAAGGGGAGAAACTGCAAAAGGACAAAGAGAAGCTATTCCCAGATGGGGAAAAGAGGAAGCTGGATAGGGATGAGGGGGCACAGATCAGGGAGCAAAAGTTCAAGGATGAAGAGAAATTGACCCCGAAGATAGAAGAATTGTCTCAGGAGCAGGAAAAAGGAAAAAAAGAAGAGCTGGTGACAGAAGAAGAGCAGAGACAGATCCAGAAAGAATATAAACAGGCCCAGGTTGAAAGGAAACAAGCCCAAGCTAAAAGAAAACAAGCCCATGAAGAAAGGAAGCTGGCACAAGAAGAAGAGAAGCTGGCACAAGAAGAGAGAAAACTGGCTCAGGAAGAGAGGAAACTGGTGAGAGATTACTGGAAACTGGCTCAGAGAGACAGGAAAATGGCCCAGGCAGAGAGGAAGTTTATCCAGAAAGAGGAAAAACTGACCCAAAGAGAGGTGCAGCTAAGCCAAGGAGCAGAGAAATTGGCTCAGAATAGGACAAAACTGGCCAAGAAACTGGAGAAACTGACTAGTGAAGAAGAGAAAATAACAAAGAAAGGAGGGAAGCTAGCTGAAGTAAAAAGCATATTGGTCCAGAAAATGGAGGAAGTGGTCCAGAAGGAGCAAGATCTGGCACGGCAGGAAAAGGAACTAGCCCAGGAATTAGAGGAGGTGAAATGGGAAGAGGAGGAACTGGCTCGGAAAGAAGAGCAACTGAATCAGGAAAAGGAGCTAGCTAAGGAAGAGGAGGGACTGGCTCAGGAGGAGAAGTCACTGGCCTCGAAAGAGAAGAAACTTGTTAAGGAAGGAAAAAAACTGGCCCAGGAAGAAGAGCGACTAATCCAGCAAGAAAATAAACTGGCCCAGTACAAGGAATATCTGCCTGAGGAAAAAGAAAGACTTGCCCAGAAAACAGGGCAATTGATGGAGAATAAGGAAAAACTGTACCGGGAAAGGGAAAATTTGTTCCAGAACAAGGTGGAACTTGCAAACAAGAAGAGGGCACTAGCCCGGAGGGGGAAGACTTTGGCACAGGAGAAGGAGAAGCTGGCTCAGGAGAAAGTAAAATGGAGTCAAAGGAAAGAAAACTTGTACCAGCTCAAAGAAAACCTTGACCAGAATAGAAATAAATTAGTGCCACTAAAGGAGAAACTGGACATGTACAAGAAGAAATTATTTCAGGTAGAGGAGAAGCTGGTGGAGGAAAAGGAGGAACTGTTCCAGAAGAATGAGAAGCTGGGTGATGTAGGAAAAAAAGTGGCCCAAGTAGAGGAAAATCTGGCTCAGAAACAGTACAGGCTAGCCCAGGACAAAATGAAATTAGTTATGGAGCAGAGGGCACTGCTTGAAAAACTGAAACTGCTCACTAGAGAAGATGATATTACTACGACAGAAAAGGCATTGGACATGGAAATGAAGAAACTGGCCCAGGAGAAGGTGAGACTGGATAAGGAAAAGAAAGAGATTCAAGAAACCTCAACACAGAAGAAACTGAGTAAGAATGAACTAGAACTAATTAAGAGGAAATTGTCACTAGAGGAGAAGATACTGACACATGAAGATAGGATATTGGCCACAAAGCAAAAGGACATTGTCAAAGGAAAATTAGAGCTTTCTAGAGGAGAGAGAGTATATGCCCAGGAAGAAAGGAAGCTATCCAAACTAGTAAGGAAGGTGGTTAAAGGAAACATTTTCAAGGATCTATCAAAAGTGAGCAGAAATATCATAAAGAGATTTCAAAGCTTTATCCAAAAAGAAAGGAAACTAGCCCAGGAAAAAATATACATGACAGAGATAAAGAGGTCATTCTTGATTAAGGAAAGAAGACTGAGCAAAGAACAAAATGAACTTGATGCCAAAAAGTGGGATGTTTCTGAGGAACAATCAGAAATTGCCAAAGATGAAGAGAAACTGGCTCATAAACAGAGAAAACTGGCCAAGGAAATGGGAATAATGATAAAGAAAGAGGAAAAATTAACTCAGGAAGAAAGCAGATTGGCCAGGCAACAGAAAGAAGTCATACAGGAAGAAGAGGAGGAAGCAGCAACAGAGGAGGAAGCAGAAACATCATTCCTTACAAGAAAAAGAAAAGCAAAGAGAGCCGAACTGCCACAGGATGAAGTGCCCAGTCAGGGGGCTGAGGTGGAAAGTGAAGAGAGCTTTTCTAGAGAAATAGAAACCCTGATAGATGAAGTAGAGAAAGAGAGTTTGTCTGAGGAAGAGGAAGACAAGGAGGGAGACGAAAAGGAGGAGGAAGAGGAGGAGGAAGAGAAGAAGATGGAAGAGGAGGAGGAGGAAGTGTTTGAGAAGGATGAAAGCATGAGTGATGAGGAGCTAGAAAGTCTGAGTGAGAAAGAAGAGGAGGAAGAGGAGCAAAGTTCATTGGAAGAAAAGGTAGACAAGGAAGAAGAGATCTTTAAAGAAGAAGAACTATTTAAGTTACCAGAAGAAAGAGGAACGGATCTAGGAGGAAGAGAAACAGTCCCTCCTATTAGAAAAAGAATCTCTGGGGTCAAAGGCAGTGATATAAACCTGGAAATTCTGGAAAGCCCTTCCAAGAAACTGATCTCAGTTGCTCTAGGGAGGGAAGAGACTATACCAGTGCCAGTGTCTAAGAAACAAATATCCTGGAAAGATAAGGCCACAGAACTTGAGTCACCCAGGATATTCCCAGAGACAAGGTTTATGGATAAACAAGAACTGTTGAAGAAATATCAGCCCATTCCTCTACAAGTTTTGGATATAGTTTTGGGGTCCCAAAGGCCAGATTTAAAGACCCCATATTTATCCCACATATTGAGGAAGACCACGGAAGCTCAGAAATTCCAAGGCAAACCACTAGGGGACAGGTGGCAGTGGCTTTCGAAGCGTCATCCGTCTCTGAAGGGACAGACTAAGGTACAATTACCTGTGCCCCAAATCCTGTCTGAGGAAATATATGCAGATGTAAGCCTCTCAGATATAGAGTGGATTCACCATGTCCTAGAACGGACAGAGGCGGGAGAACAGCTTTCCAGAGACAGTTTCCACAGATTGTGCCAGCTTTTCAAAGACCTCACCTCAAAGGGAACCTTAGAGTGGATGCATATAGCCAAACTTGAAGCTATCACTTACCGTCACAGGCAGGTCCTGGAATCACAAAGCACACGTATCTCGAAACCCAGTAAGAAGTCCATTGGTCCAAAATACCTGAAAGTGATCCCTCCTATAAAAAGAAAGGAAAAGGAAAGCCATCTAAAACCTTTGGCTTTCTCCACACCAAGGTGCTCATTAGCTGCCGGAAGGATTCCGGACCCAAAGACTATAAATTGGCATCTTTTAGAAGAGCCTTACAGGAATTTGTGGGCAGAGCAGATATCAAGTGCCCTCAGGGAAATGGAGAGGCAACACATTTATCCTGCCACAAGAGACATTTTCACAGGTGCCCATGCCTCTGTGGAAAAACAGACCCTAGCACTGATGTTTCAAAGGGACTTCTGGGCTTTTAAGGATAAGGGCAGGTTTCCCAGATTACCCAAGGTGGAAAAAAAGGCAAAGCCCACCTCTAAAAAACAGGAAGAGGTGCCTCTATGGGAGACATTTGTGGCACTGTACCATGTTTTACGGATGTTGCAGGAGCGATATGCAGAAGACAGTGCTGCTTGGGTAGAACAGTTCTACCAACTCATGGACCTGTACCAAGTCAAGTCCCCTGGAATCCAGAGATTGCTACAGGAGCTGCTACTGAGAGAGAGACCCCAATCCCATAAGATCATCTACAAAGAGGCCCTAAAGGCCATGGACCTAGTTCCTGGGGAGCGGTTGTTCTACCACCTGTTTTGTGGTCACTCTCACATCCCTAGAGGTCCTCTGGAGTTCCAGGAGGTGATGGCCCTCTCAGGGCAGAACAATGTGCGTACCATGCTTCCCATGGGAATCGCCCATTATGGCATCTTAGAACTTGCCTGGAAGAGCCTGCCCCAAGCTGATATTCACCTCACCAAGGAATTGTCCCACATCATTGCTCCTACTCTCTAACTTGGGAGTGACTGGAGGTCAGGACTTTTCATTCCCACCTGGAGAAAGGCCTTGCCACTAGATCTAGACCTTTATTCCTAGGGCCTATACAGAGGTAGGGCAGGCCAAAGCCCTTTCCCTACCCAGCTCCAGAAGCAAGCTTCTATATGTGGAATAAAGAGGAGGTTCTCATCCAACAAGCTCTGTGATGTGTCCCTTTTCCTCAAATGTTGCTTCTCCAGAAAGATAGCCAGGGAGACCAGATACTCACATACTCCAAAGAGTGAGAAAACTTATGAGAAGCCCTAGCTGGTGTGGCTCGCTTGGGCATTGTCCCACGCACCAAAAGGTCACTGGTTCAATTCCTGGTCAGGGCACATGTGTGGGTTTCAGGCTCCATCCCTGGTAGGGGGCTCGCAGGAAGAAGTCAATCAATGTTTCTCTCTCTCCCTTCCTCTCTCTCTAAAATCAATAATAACTTTTAAAAAACATATTAAAAAAAAAAACTTACCAGAAGCGAGTGATGCTCACCCTCTGGAGGCCTTCAGACAGAAGAGCCTGTCCTTGTCCTCTTCCTTCTTGTCTCCCAACATCTTCTCCTAAGAACTATGTAAGAAGGAAAGCACCTGGCACAGAAATGAATATTTCACATTAATATGAGGCATTGATATAGTAGAAAGAAAATGGATTTTAGAATCAGAAAACCCAGCATTTTGCCCCTTAGTTTTGGGGGGTACACAGTGGAGGCAGACTCTATTTCCCTGATTATAGCATGCTGATGAGCTGAGCCCAAAACAGCCGGTGTGTTAGGTGTTGAGACCCTCAGAGTAAAGGAAAAAGCTTCAATAAGTTCTTGCTAGTCCCTCATTACTGGATGACATTAAGGATAAGGCCATCTGAGGTTAAAGCAGAAAGAAGAGGGAAGCCTATGTCTTTCATTTCCTTTTTCAAGACTTGGACATAGCATTTGGGGAAGATGATATAATTTGGAAGACTACGTGAAAGCTCAAATAGTCCCCCACCCCTTCCCCGTTGCCTAGGGACTTATGATCCCTTCCCTCCAGCAATTAAGGAGACAAGAGTTAAGGGAAAGGGCTAGTAAAGTGGAGGAAGTTGTCACTGCTCGTAATCATGTTCCTTCCCTGATCTTCTCTCCCTGCCATTGAGATTTTAGAGCTGCCTCTTTCCAGCTAAGCTGAGTCTTCCAACATCTTCTAGCAAGTAGCCCACCTGTGCCATTTGTCACCTCCATTCCACCTCTCCTTTGTTATTTTACTTCTTCCACCTGAGTTTGATTTTTGTGGTAAAGCCATGGATAGAGGGAAAGAGAACATTATGAGAAGTTGGGTTCACATTGGAGGCCAAAGGCAATGACAGCCCTAGGTGTATAGTTGGGCTCTTCCATGTCAGACTATATATTAGGCCACATGGAGTATATGAGAGCTGTGGGCAGGGGGCAGGGAGCCTTAAAAAGGATAACTGACCTAACAGCTGGAGAAAGGAGCAGAAATAAGCATAGTCCAGCTGGCTCTGCAGCCTCAACCTGAATAATTTCTCCTTTTTAGCCTCTGTTTACTTGTCTGTGTCAAAAGAGAATAATGCACAAATCACAAACATCAGGCATGAAAGAGGGGCTATCACTACAGGTCTTACAGACATTAAAACGATAAAGACTATGATGAACAATTCTGTGCCCATAAATTTGACAACATAGATGAGATGGACAAATTCATTGAAAGACCAGGAAAGGGAATGGCAATGACTGACTGTTTCATTTCGCAGGATATCATTGGGTCCTTTGGTAAAAAATAAAAATAACCCTATAGTGGGCCCTGGCCAGTGTGGGTCAGTGGTTAGAGTGTCGGCCCACCCACCAAAGGGTCACAGGTTTGATTCCCAGTCAAGGGCATGTACTTGGGTTGTAGGTTTGATTCCCGGCCCCAGTCCTGGTATGTGCGGGAGCATCAATTGATGTGTCTCTCTCACATGGATGTTTCTCTCTCTCTCTCTTTCCTTCTCTCTTTCTCTTTCCCTCCCCGCCCTCTAAAAATCAGTGGAAAATATATCCTCGAGTGACGATTAACAAAAAACAAAACTCACAGTGACAAAAACGGTCTTTTGTGGTTCCAGAGTCAGGAAGGCTATGGATGGCTCTTCCGGGTACCTCAAAACCTGAGTACTGGCTGTGACAACCTACAAATCCTCATCTTTGTCAGAATGGCAGAGAGCAGGACTTGTTTGTATTTTCTCTTTATTATGAAAAATTTCAATCTCAAAAGTTGAAGAGTATTATAATGAACCCCCAGATCACATCACCTAGATTTAATTGTAAACATCTTGCAAAAATCACTTCATTTTTTTCTTTGTTGAAATATTTTTAAAAATCCAAGACATCATATTTCAACCCTAAATACTTTGATACTCTAAAAAAAAAAAATTTCTTACATAATGATTTTTACATCTAACAAAATAATTCCTTAATATTATCTAATACTATATGCAAATTTTCCTGGTTTTCACCCAAAATGTCCTTTTATACTTTGTTTGAATCAGAATTCAAACAAGGTCTACACCTTGTTGTATTGTTATGCTTCCTAAGACATAACATATTAAACATTTACACTCCCCTCTCCCCAGTTTTTTCGCACCATTGATTTGTTGAAGACTGATTCTCCATGTTTTGGATTTTTCTGATAGAGTTTTGCAACCTGAGGCATGGATGTGCTTCAAGGGTCCATGAAGCTTCTGAAATTAGATGAAAAAGAATTGTGCTAAGTACTTCCCCTACCCCTAACCCTCTCCGGGAAAAAGCCTGCAGCTTTCATGAGATTCTTGAGGAAGTCCTTGACACAAACATGTTAAATCACCACTTAAGGAGAGCACAGAGGACTTTAGCTCAGACGTTGCCAGTAGATGAATGACCTTCAGCCAGTACCTTCCCCTTACTGGGTTCTAGATTTCTTATTTTTGAAGGGATGGTTATGCTTCAGACCTTTCCAGGATATAAGAAAGGGTTTCCAGGTCCCCATCCTTCTCCCAGAATTTGTGCTCTGGGTAATGTAAGAGACTTTCCCTATTGTACATAGCTACCAAATGCATTAGGAAATAGGTAATAGGGAGTTGACGTTGAGTAAGACCTTAAGGGAGAAGGATATTACATTTCCTGGAAGAATATTACATGCTCCAACTAAGGTGAGTGGTTATTAAAGATACTAGATTGAGATTGGGAAATGACCCTGACAGCACATAGAAACTCCTAGATAGCTTGGATATGAGAACTGAGCCCTGGGTGCTCAAATGTTTAGAAGAGGGAGACATAAAGGAGTTTGGAGTGATGTAGCTACAAGCCAAGGAACACTAAGGATTGCCAGCAACAACAAGAAGCTAGGAGAGAAACATGGAACAGATTCTCCCTCAGAGCCTCCAGAAGAACCAATCCTGCTAACGCCATTATTTTGGAATTCTGGCATCCTGAACTGTGAAAGAAGAAATTTCTGTTGTTTTAAGCTCCCCAGTTTGTAATCATTTGTTATGATAGCTCCAAGAGACACTAAGTGTACTCATTGCTACTGGACTGACTTTGCTTTGTGGCTCTTCCAGTAGACACAACTAGGAAATATATATATGTATGTACATATACACACATATATATGTGTGTACACATAAACATGTTTTTATGCATACATATACATCTTTTGGAGATTATGTGTTCATACCAATACCTCCAATTTCAGTCTATCTGCATAGGGTCATTGTTGCCTGCCCCTATTTCATATTTGTATGTCCTTTCTTCCATAGTGTGTACCCTGACTCCCAATACCATAAACACGTTTACTTCTTTACTCAAGTCTATGATGCATTTAAAATAGTTTCAGAATCTCTTTGCCCATACCACTACAATCTATAAATGTATTAAAAAGAGTTCAGGATTTGTTTGCCCCCCAACCCTGCCCAAGATTGAGAATATTTGTCAAATACTGTGCACAAAGGTAGTTGGACTGGTTCATCCTTCCTTTCCTTTCTTCAGGGTTATGTTATTCACTTGAAATACAATTAGTTTCATTTCTGTCACTTTGCTTTCAATTATAGAATCCCCTCGCTTCCAATTCTTACTAATTTATTTTTGCTTAAATATGTATAATGTTAGCATGCTTTCAAAAGTCAACAACAGTACACAAAAGTATACTCAGAGAAGTAACATTCCCTCCCATAGTCCATTTACTGCATTTTGCTCTACATACTCTTACAGGTAATCAGCTTCAATGTTTTCTGGTCCCTTTTTCCTGCTACTTTTTGTAATGGATTGGGTGGGTTTTTCTATAAAAGGAAGCATACCAGGAGAGGATTCTGGAAAGATGGCAGAGTAGAAGCACCAGGAATCTGTTTCCCTACCTAGATATTTGCATTGGCTGATCTGACTGATGTAACTATGTTGGAATTCTGGAGTCTATAGAAGGCTTGCAACCTCCAGAGGAAGACCTGGATGGTAAATTGCTGTTAATTTTGATCAATTTCAGTTCTTAGCACAGTAGCAGCTACCAACCTCTAACCCCTAGTCCAGGGGTAGGTAGCTGTGTATATGTGCCCAGGGCAGCTTATGCACAGTTTGTAGTAGCCAGGATAGGTAAAAAGGACCCTGTCCTCCATATATTGGGTATCTGTGCTCTCATTGCTGACTGCTATGTCTGATCACAGAGGTGCAGACAAAGAGGTGGGCAATCACTAAACAATGTACCTCCTCCATAGTTTCAAGACCCTCCCCCTCTGGCTGAAGTGACTTCCAGGGGCTTTAAGGAGCTGGTGCCCTTTGTTTTCCCTCTTTTTTGTTTCCCCCACCCTCCCTGTTTTTGGAACCAGGCATTAAACAGTAGAACATTCAAAAACAACAGCATATACAGGGAAAATTAGAATGTGACCATACATGCCAGGGAAAGGCTTATGAAAGACCTGAGAAGTCTTTAAATTTACCCATCAGACTGACCCTTGACATAGAGACAGCCTATGAAAATAAAAACTAAATAACAACAGCAAACCTGGGGAGGGGGAAGGAGAGTCTCATTCCCAGAGTTATCACATTATTAGGTTCAAATGTTCAATGTTCAACAACAAAATACAAGGCATACGAAGAAACAGGAAAATATGAACCGCTCTAAGAGAAAAAATCAATCAACATAAACTGTCTCTGAAAAAGACCTGATTGCAGATATACTAGACAAAGATTTTAACTGTCTTAAGCTCAAAGAACTAAATAATGATGTAGTGAGA